ATTTTTCAAATGGGACTCAATTGGTGTGAAATGGTCCAACTCAGAAAAGGTCCAAATTTACTATTCAAACCAATTGAACCCAATTGGACTCCAATTGATTCCAAGCAAAAGCAATTGGTTTTGGAATTGGTTATTGAATTAGTAAGTGAATTGGATCCAATGGGTAAGTGAATTTGTCTCAATAGGTAAATGAATTGGACATTTTCAGCAGGGATATGACTAGACTCGACTTGAGTCACAAAATTAGTGAATCATTACAACTCTGGTCCGTTGAGCCTGTCTTCCACCAACCAACCCTTTGGTGGTATTGAAACACACCAAATCTGTCTCCTCAGTCAATTATTTGCTGATGTGTTTTTGTAGGAAACTTTTAAAGCTTCTAAAATCGGCTTCCTTGAAAGGAGGGGTACAGTACTTGTATTTCTCATTAGCCCCATCGCAACACAGTCTTATGTATGTACATGAAAACCAATTTATTGTGACGTATCAGACATCTGTATTACTTAGGCAACCATTTCAGACTGCACACATTGAATTGGATTGGCATTTCCATTCTCCCGCATTTATTACATTGTGGGCAGTAAAATAGACACCTACTTTTTTGTTTGGCATTACGTATGGTATGGTGTGGCCATATACATGTATTGTCAATAAGTTTTATGTGTGAAGTATGTCTGATATACAGATGTGAATATGCACTTTTCATGCTACTGTGCACATGCACCAATAGGAGTTGACTTCAGAGTATAACTCGCTAAAGGCTGTTGATATTTGATAATTGTCAGATGATTGTACTATGTCAGCTCACTATCTCAGCTGAGCACGTTTAGAGATTGTCAATTGAAAGCATGTCTGTGATTAGTTCAGACCTGGGAAACATGTTTTCCAATTGTTTAGAAAACCCGGGATCTACTCCAGTAACTACATATTACACAGACCTAACCAGGCTGAATGGCAGGCATAAGTGTGTCACGTTTTCCTTAATTGCGTGAAGTTTGCTGCTGAAAGGCCATATTATGCATGTTTGCTGATTGCAAGAGATAAAAGACTTCTTGGAAATGTGTCTTTCAACCCCTTCCATTGCTTCACAGTGTATATATGTATTTGAAATGTGAATTTTGCTGAGCCCATTTAACAGGTCCCAGACAAAAGGCTATGAAGAATCATGCTGCTGAATGCTCATACATTGTCAAACATACACGTTAGGGTTTGCCCCTCGAAAATTGCAATCTCTCCTTCCCCTCTTTTTTTTCCCTGAAAGTCCCTAATTCACCCTTGTTAATGAGAATTCAATTTGGACTCATCAATTCTCCTAGGAGAGTGCAGTAGAATTGAACTATTTATCCAGTGCAGTGTGTGTTTCTGTTTTTCCTTTGTCAAAGGTGGAGGCATTGCAGGTGACACAGCGGCTATGAAGATCGTCGAGCTGTCCAAGAAGAATCGTGAACTGACGGCGGAACTGGAAAGTGAGCGGACCAAAGTCAAGCAGCTCATGCGCAAAGTCCGCGACACTGAAAAGGAGGTAAATATGATGCATTATCATCTCCAGCTACAATCCTGGACAAGTTGGAACATGCCTCCCCCTCACCCCCTCGTTTCTCATTGGGTAAGCTGGGCTTAATCTTGGTCCAATAAATGACCGCAACATTGAATGGGGGAGAGGGGAATCTTTTCACTGCGCTTCCCACAAATTGTTCCAACTATTTTGTCCAGGATTGTGGCTGTACATCATCTCAGACTGGAGTTTTGGTGAAACTGAGGGGAAACGTTTTTTTTAAATAGTAATATGCTGCTTTGTGGCTGTTAATTTAAAGAGAGGTGCATGTACAAGGGGCAGAAAACAATAGTTGCAAGTTGTTGGTTTCTGTTAATGAAACAACATCAATTAAACTGGTTCACCGAAGAGAAAATAAACTTAATAAAATGTAGCATTGAGGATTATGCGCACCTCAAAAAGATCTTCCTTGATTATTGTGCAGGTTTTTCTACACATTCTACTGTCACTTGATCTGTGTTGATGAAACAGGCATGCATCTTGATCTTAAACGTCAAAGTCTTCTTCCATGGATCTGCACTGATAGCACAGACTTCATGTATAGTGTGCTAACAAATGACCGCGAATGGGCTTCATTTTGTCACCATTTTTACGAAGAGGTGAACTTTCAACCGAATACTAAAACCTATGTTTCAAGAAAATTGGATTTGAAGTTGGTCTCTTTTTCAAATACTTAAATCTCCACTATTTAGCATGCCTTTGACTTAACCAATGCTACTTCATGAAAGAGAGCATCTTTAATCTACCAAATAATAGTTACAGAAGTCACTTAAAATTGTTTTTTGTTCACAAACAAATTTGCCTGTAGGTGAAAATGCGAAAATTCCTGTGACGTTTGTCTATTTTTGTTATAGTGCGTTGCAGGTGCAAAATTGTTATATTTGTATACATATCCAGCATCAAATGTGCCTCTTTGTAAAAACAGTGAAACAAGTTTGCCCATTGTTTTGCCCTTTATTGCTAACGCTTTATCTACGGAAGACAAATTCGCCTTTTCGTGAAAATGCAAAATGCAGTTTAATTGAAATTTTATACTGTCCCCACTCCACTAGAGGGTTTCTGAGTTAGGAGGCTCTAGCCTTTTTGGAGTTTGATAAATTTGCACAATTTATCTTGTGTCTACATGTACAAACTTGGGAGGCTCATGGTTTAATCCTTTGTTGATCTTGATTCTTAGTTCTGAGTCAGTTATAACTGGCTATCGTCTTCAAGAAATATGAGTTTGAATTGTAAAGAAACTACTTCGAACAGGTTTTGCATTTTGTGTTATCACTCTGCAAACTTTGAATTGCAACAAAAAGGCCATAGCAAAGCCAAGAACGCTAACTACAGTTTCATGCTTCAGTGTTCAAAGCAGTGGCAGGGAAACCCTGCAGTTTGTTAGTATTTGATTACGGATTACCACTAATTGTTTGGTGAAGGGATAAAGAGAATAACAAGCTGGGAAAGGTGTTGACAACATCAAAAAGGCAGTGGAAATCTGGCCCCTCTCTCTCTAGTGAAATGCTGCCCTCGTGTGCTCCAGGTAGATCATTGTGATTTGGCTTATTTCAGCAGATTTGGCAAAAATGATTATACCAAGTTGTAGGCATTGCATAGCCTAGTTAATTTTGCCAAAAAAACAGAAATTTGAAAAAAATCATGATTTTTGCCAAAAGTGTCTCTTCGTGAAAATGGTGGGTGACATTTTCGGCTATACACTGATAGAATACCAAACTGGTTCGTAATCAAAGAGAACAAAGGCCATATTTTGGCCATTGGAATTTCAGTGAGTGAGCTTTTCTTTTGATTTTAATTTCCCACCATGCAGTTGGCAGTGGCTTTACAGCAGTCACAGAATGTGGAAGGCAGGGGAAAGAGTGGCCAACAGAGGCCTGTCCTGACAAAGGAACAGTCGCAGAATCAGGTACAAGTATGGTGTTCACTATGATGGAGCAGTAGCCATGGTGGCTGGTACTCGGTCAAGTTTTGCTGAGCATTAAAATATGGTGAGGCTTGTTTTTTGGCGCAAGAGTGCTGTTAAATTTGGCTCAGGAAATGGATGGATTTTGTGGAGAAAATGAAATGTTTCAAAATGTGGGATCCGGAATCGCATATATGCAATCAGAACGAAACCAACTGTGGCACTCCATGAAAAAATGTTTTATCTCTGAGTGGAGATTTAATAATGACTTTCTGAATGGTTTTTGTCACACCTGGTTAGAAATTTCACGTTTAACCACTTGCTGCCGGGGGACCCGTTTTCGAGCACATACGTTTTATACACGAAGCCGGGGAACCTGAAATGGGACAAAGGGAACTGGGCCCTGTAACAAAAGACTGTACTTGGAACAAAAGACCAGGCTGCTGGGCATTACCGACATGTTTTCACTCTCAGTAGTGGAGATAATCCAGCCTTGTTTTGAAACAGTATACCACGGTTTGGGGCATTTAGAGCGAGTGGATTACCACTGGGGACAAAAGCGCTCCACCGCCACAGCGATCAGCCACACAGCACCGCTGCACGCTACTCTATCTGGCCCCTATTGAAAAGAGGTCAGCAGTGCACTGTGCCAGGTTTGTGAACGAAAGAAATTTATATAACATTGCACAATCTGGGCTCTTTTTACAAGGTTGCAGGCCTGGCTGAAATACTCAGGTGTCAATAGATTTCGTCTGTCAGACTAGAGTGGCCACCAGACAGTCATTCGTGTGGGTGTAAATGTCCATTAATTGAAATGATGAATTTTTGAAGAATTTTGAAAACTCAAAATCTTGGAAGAGTCCCGATTATGTGCACTGCATTTTTCAAACCACCTGGCAGCAAGTGGTTAAAGTTGGTGTACCACTCAGTGACAATCTTCTTGTACTGTACAGGCAGAAGCAATGGCAACAGAGTTGAAGAACCTTCAGGACACCCTGGCCAAGAGCCAAGCCAAACAGACTGATTATCGCAACCAGGTCAACGTCCTGAAACAGGAACTGAAAGTAACCCATAAGGTAGGTTAAGACATCTCGAAGTGTTCTGTAAAAGGGGGCATGAATTGGATTCGCACTTGGAACACCTTGGTGGCAGTCATTGAGAAACACCTCAGTCTTCCACATTGTTGCTTCTCGCAGATTCTCTCCAGTGAGCTCGGAGAAAACGTCAATATCCAGGATATCAAGAATGACAATAGTAGCTGGAGGGGTCGTGCCCAGCAAATCCTACTGCTTCAGAACAAGGCAAGTCTTTGACTGCTTTCCTCTGCACATGTTCCTCCCCAAAGCCACACAGTGACTATCAGCGTGCGTCTAGGACTATTTGCGGGTCTTGATTCATGTTTTTCTGCATGAATGGGAGCCGTGAGTATAGTGCTTATTGAAAAAACCAGTTTCCATTATTTGCACGACCCATTAGGTCTCTATGTATTAATTAATTTATTTCATTTCTCGGGATACATCAGTAAAAAAAACAGTACAAACACAAAACATATGATTTAGACAAAAATAAGCTAAGGACAACATCTAATCAGAATGATTTCCGAATGATTTCCCTGAAAGGAATGGATTCCTGTCAAGGGGCAGACCTTCAGGGTAGCCTCAGCTATTAATTTCCTTGCAGACAAAGTGTGCAAGCATGTAAAACAACAGCCACCAGATGAGCAATGTTTGTGGAGGACATATCACATTTAAGCAATATGCAATGCAATAACAGGTACTTGTTTCACTGATTTACAAACCAATCGTGGCATTGCATGTGTGTGGTCTTACCATGCCTCAGAGGGTGTAGAATTGACAATTGACATTTCTTTTTTCACAGATTCATTGGGGATGAGGCAACATTATTGACCTAATAGTAAACTATTGACCATAAAAGATCCCAAGGTTGGAAAAGGCAAAAGTGTAGTCCAACATCATTTTGTCCTGGAGACAAATCTTTACTCACAAGCCTGAGTCAGACAATTCACACTCTTGTTTTTGTCATTTCTGGGCAGGTCTCTGAGCTGAATCGTCAGCTGGACCAATTCAAAAGTCGGCCGGGCACCGAGATGAGCCTGGAGGAACAGTTTATGACCATGGACGTCTCGGACGACCGCTCCTCCTTGACATCTGCCCTCCCGAGGGGCCCCAAAGGGGGAGGCGGGGGGACAATGGATGAACGGCAGAAGCTGAGGATCAGACAGCAGGAGAGAGGGAGAAGAGAAGAGCAAGAGGTTAGATACCCACGGAGCTTTGAGCGTCGCTCACACTTCAAACAAGAAAGCATGTTGTTTGAGATTGCACCGGTTAGAGTGTAGATGTTGAGAAATACATATACAGCTAATTATTCAACTGAATATGCACAACCAGTTTTTCAACGCATCAGGTTTTCAGCTGAATGTGTACAACCAATTTTATCAACTGATTATACAAAACAAATTTATTTCAACTGACTGTGCATAACCAAGTTTTCAAGTGAATGTGTGCAACAAAATTTTCACTGATTATGTGCAAAATATGATGCACCTACCGGTATGTAAAGGTGCACAGGGCTTTGAAGTGACTTGTTGCAGAAACTTTGCATAGTCTACCACATAGGTGGTAAATTTAGTTGTACATGGAATTCATGGTGTCCACAGCCAGTGTAATTTTGGACACAAAAATTGTGTTTTGTGGTCCTGCCGCACTGAGTTAGATAATAGATAACCAAGAAAAGAGGGAGTCATCCAAGACAAATCGGAATGACTGATTATTGTATACTCTATAGCCCACTGGCAGATGACTTGAGTGTGCAGTGATCACCTGACCAAATCTGTACGATCATGCTGACTGACATGTTGACTCAGGATCGCTCCTGATGGGTTTCTTTGTACAGAAAGCTGCCTTGGAGCTGAAGTCCATGGAGGAGGACTACAGCAAGTTGAAGGAGAAGTTGGAGGCTTCTAAGGCACGCAACAAGGTCCTGGCCAATGAAATCAAGTCGGTCAAACAGCAGTTGACTACCTTGTTAGACAAGGGTAAACATGACAATGAACTGATTGAAGCTTTGTTGGTAAGTATAGGATTTGTAGGCACTGGAAATGGGGGGGGTGTTTTGGAAATGTTTGACTTAAAATGTATCAGATGCATTCAGTAGTATTTTTTGTAACAAGCACTTTTGTGTGAAGTGGTTGTAGGCATTTTGGCAAATAATGTCCAGTATTTCTTACATCAGGTGATTGGTTTAAGGATCTGAATTTGGCAATTTTGGCATCTGACTCCAAGTATGTGGACAAAATTCAATCTCAAGGAAATTTGTATTTTCCACTGTTCTGTGATACATGTACATGTTTGTTGGCAAGTATTCTAATAAGATTTGCTGTGGAAGATTGCATATAAAATATTGACTTTTGCAAAGCACACTGTTTCCTCAAATCATTTGAAAATGGCCTCCCTTTTTTTCAGCCGTGAAGAACTAAAGGGTCTGTCCAAAGAGTTTCACCAGTCAATATCGAATCTAGGGTATAGATCCAGAAGGGACCAAGTGGGTAATTTTTCGGAAAAAATGTGATTTGTAGCAAATTGCTTAGGAGGATGTATATCACTGCCTCTTGTACTGGCGGCAAAACGCTTGCACTTTTCTTTTCAAGAAAGTGACAAAATGTCACTGGGATAAGTCTCCCATTGAAGCTCAATGAACACTTACATTCTATCACTGTATCTTTATCAGATCACACAATCATGTTCCGTGGTTGAGGTGACTGTTGAACTATGGTTCTTGTGTGGACCAAAAGCATAATTGGGACAAACCAAAATCTCGGCAATCTGGTCAAAGCTTCCCTTACAAATGAAATTGTCCTCTCAATACATTTCAAGCTGGGGCCTCACTACAGCCCTGAGGAGTTTGGAGGTACGGCACCATCACTAAAGAGGACCCAGAGTTTACATATTCCATGTCCTCTTTGTTTTGCAATTCTGTCATGCTGTGACTAGAGCCAGCAGGGCCAACTCAAGAAGCACCTGGAGCTGAGCAGCAAGCAGCAGCAGGAGGTCCAGAGGATGAGGGAGCAGGCCAGCCAGGAGCTTCAGCTCAGGAGCCAGCAGGATGCCAACACCGTGGAGCAGCTGAGGCTCATCATTAAGGAGAAGGAAGCCAAGATCCGACAGCTGGAGGAGACAGTGCAAGAAATGAGCCAGATGGTTAGAAGAATTGTCCAATTCCTTGATTCCAGCACTCTAGGATCCTCCAGAATCTTCCAGAAGTTTTTGGTAGATCACAATGGATTAAGGAAGCTAGATCGCTGTCACTTTTACTTGACATTGGGCTTGATGGCTCTATAAAGTCCAAGTGCTGAGAATGTACCATTGATTTCCTACGTAATGAGGATTTAGGAGGATTGAGCAAGGTTAATAGCAAGAAGGCTCAAGGAGTATAGGTTTCACATTGTCTTTTCATGTTTAAGCTTGGATGTTTTCAATATTTGGTGTTGGATGTTAAATGATCCTCGTGATTATCAGTTTTCGGTAAAATTTGTGAACTGTTTTTGATCTTCAGTCTTCCATTTTCAAGTCTTAATCCTGACTTCTCAAGTTTCCTTTTGCTAAAACCCTTCTTGGGTCTTCCAAAGTTCTCCACAGTGCTGAGAGACAACAAGATATATTTTTGCTCCCAATCTTCCTGGGAGCACCGTGCCCCAGGTACTTTGTTTTAACCCTTTACAATTGTGTTTAACCACTTGGTGCTGGGTGGATTTTCAAGATTTTCCATTTTCAAACTTCTTCAAAAAATCATAGCTTCATTTACTGGACATTTACACTCACACAAATAACTGTCTTGTGACTACTCTAATCTGACAGACAACATCTATTGATGCCTGAGTATTTCAGCCAGGCCTGCCACCTTGTAAAAAGAGCCCAGATTGTTATGTAACTTTCTTTTGTTCCCAAAACTGGCATAGTGCGCTACTGGAGTCTTTTCAATGGGGGCCAGATTAGTGTGCAATGGTAGGTATAGCTCATCGCTGGAGCACTTTTGTCCCTGGTGGTAATCCGCTTGTGTTGAATGCCACAAACAGTGGTGTAATCTCTCAAAAAAGGACGGATCTCCTCTGCTATTGACAACTGAAAAAAATGTTGGCAATTCCCAGCAGCTCGGTCTTTTGTTCCGAGCACAGTCTTTTGTTATGAGGCCCGGCTCTTTCGTCCGGTTTCATGTATTAAGCCTATGTGCCGGAAATGGGGTTCCCCGGCAGAGAGTGGTTAAAGTTCTTGAACACCTGATGTATTTTGAAGATTCTGTAAAAATGAAGGTTGACCCTTGTTACCTTTGTTCTTCACTGTGGTGTCTGCTATCTCCAATCTTCATTTTTCAACCTTCAGTTGTCAACTGTCTGTCACTTTTCCCTCCAACTTGATTTTTCTTCTTGAAAACTGCAGGAATTATAAATATGTTATGTTTTCATGGCAGGTGGCAGTTCTTGAAATGAGAATAACTTTGAATAAACACAGACAATTCTGTTTTTATCTGCCTTATCATTCCTTAATTCCAAGGCTTACTTATGAAAATTTGATTTTTTTCAGTCAATCAAATGGCAAAAGTTTCTCCATGATACCCAAAACTGAGTGAGCATTCTAGTCATGCAGTGACTCATTGTTCCCCCTTCGCTCTCCAACAGCATGAACAGCAGTGGCAACAGCAGCAGACGATCCACCTGAACGGTGGCACAGACACAGCCCCCGACAGACCCCAGAGCAGACCCCTGTCCATCATGTCAGTGGACAGACCAGTCCCAGCAGAGAGGCACAGTGGCGTGTCATTTGGCTCCCCAGCACCTCCACAGTCAAGGTAAGCCTTCTGCACGCCTGTACTCTATAAACCAAATTTTCAAAATGGTTCTTTATCAACTTGGTGATTTTTGCGGTCACTTTGAAAACAGAATGTTTTCCCAGCTTAGGGGTGAAGAGAATTTTGGCATTTAGAAGGGGCTGAAGCTGAAATGATAAACATCAGTAGCAAGATATTGAAGGAATAAAAGAAATTTCAAAACTCCAAACAAGAAATTGATCGTCGGAATTAGATTTTAGGTCAAATTCTCAAAGTTTGAAATGATTCTTAACCTTTGCACTTGGATTTTTTGCCTCCTTCCAAAGACAGTTATTTAACCTTCAAATACTGTAGGTTGGATCCATACAGTCTTGTTGTTCCATGTGCTTTGTTGCCTCCTTCCAAAGACAGGCATTTAACCTTCAAATACTGTAGGTTGGATCCATACAGTCTTGTTGTTCCATGTGCTTTGTTGCCTCCTTCCAAAGACAGTCATTTAACCTTCAAATACTGTAGGTTGGATCCATACAGTCTTGTTGTTCCATGTGCTTTGTTGCTTCCTTCCAAAGACAGTCATTTAACCTTCAAATACTGTAGGTTGGATCCTTACAGTCTTGTTGTTCCATGTGCTTTGTTGCCAGGCAAGGAAGTAGACCACCGACGGGCAACAGAAGTGCATCCAAACTGAGTAATGGAGAAGTGTCAGGGAGAGCATCATCCAGGGGTGTGCGGCCGGCAAGCACAGGGTAGGTCTGTCCCTCTCAGAGTTTCCTCGTAGGTAAACCATACATCTGGCTCGCTTGATTCTTACAGACAGTTGCCTCCCCCTCCCCCGCACACGAAGTTGAAGGGTCATACTATTTCCACCTTATCTGTCCATGGGTGTGTGTTTTGGGGGAGGCCTTTTTCTGCATGAAGGGGACATTGACAGTTTCTTTTGTTGGGAAAGTTGGAATATCCCTGAGTGGACCAAAATTTGTCCTCATATGCTTTTGGTCCCCAATCCCCATAGAGTCTATATTTCAACATGATTGTGGTCTCCGTTACCCAGTAACAAGACGTAGTATCCATACTGTGTAGGTGAGTTTGTTTCTGCATTCAACTGGGGACCTTGNAACATATGGGTGGTCTTCTAAATATGTTAAAGTACAAACAAAAGAGGAACAATAGGGGGTCCCCGGTTGCAGGCAAATACACATTTATGTGTGTGTGTGCCTGGAAAAATCTTGTCAGTGTAGTAACTTGAGAAATACTTGACATGTGAACTTCAGATTCGGTTTTGTGATTTGCTCTTTGTAATCCGATCAGGCCTGTTACATTTTGGGGTGGAAGAACAAGGGTCAGAGCCACAGCAGCTAAAACAATAGAAATTTAGACAGCATGATAAGTTAAGAATTAGGGAGTTATTCAACTACATATGGAAGTTTGCTCATAAAACAGTAATGCCGCAGACACGTGATCTCTAAGATTGTCATTGTGACAATAGTATTTATCAGTACACCTGACTTATTGTATTTGTCAACCTCATCCTGGTATGATAAATAAGTCTTAGCATTTAGCAAGTTAGGTTACTTCAGAGAAATTCTTTCTTAACCAGTTGTGCATCGTGATGTAGACATGTCTCTATCCTTTTGTTGTAAAATGCCAGTAGATCTGATTCCAGCTCAGTTTTTTTCTCATTTCTCATTTGCTCAATTACCCCGCCCCTAGGAGTTTGACTTTGGCATCCGGCGAAGGCTCAGAGGAATGGAGGAGGCAATTACAGCACTGCAAGTCACTGTGTCAAGTGGCAGAAGTGGAGAGAGACAAATTGATGGAACTGGTGCAGATATTACAGACCAGGTTAGCAAGGACAAGACCTAGAGTCCTCACATATTCTTTCTCTCTTTGGAATGGTTGGGCAATGAGGGACGCATTGAAAGTTAGCCAAAGCATAGGGTCGTTAGCAGCGACAAGACCTAGCTACATCTAGAGAGGACAGAGTCCTCACATATTCTTTCTCTCTTTGGAATGGTTGGG